AGACGCTTTTTTCTCTCAATGAACTCTCTGTTTTTCTTTCTTCTCTAATGCGTGAGGAAACTCCAGCCATCGTGCCTCTCTATTTATGCATATAGAGAACATTTCAAAACCCAAGAAACTTTCATTCCTTGTAGTTATCGTTTCCTTATTTTCTCTGAAATATATTATTCAAATATCTTTCTCTTTTTCCTCCAAGCAAATATATTTTTCTTTGTTTTAACTTAACCCACGTCAATACTCAAGCTCCTCTTCAGCAAACGTTCAACTCAAATTGATTATGCACTTCTTGTAGTACCCTCTGTAGTAGTTCCGACTAATAACTCCTCTTCAATCTCCCCCTTTTTGACAACGTATGTGAACTCAACACTTCTAACTTTAATGGCATCATCACCAATAACACCAGAGTACCAACAACTCCAATCTCCCCCTACTTGAGTCACAACATGGTCAAAAATTAATTCGAAGATCGTCCCCCTTCAACTCGACGAGGTTGATAGCCCATCACACCAGATAACATCGTAAGGTTGCTTCATTCGATTATTCTCCCCCGATAACTAGAAATATCTTGGCCTAATATGCCCAACAACTCCACAATGATGACAAAAGGTCGAAAAATTCGTTAAGATACACTCTGAATTTCCGTAATTTTTCTTGTAGCAGTTGTAGTCCCTGTAGTAATTCTGGCATGTGTCCCTATAGCAGATGTAATTGCAGTCTTTTTTCTTCTCCCATACACAAAAATAGTTTCATTTTTTGAAAATTTCCCATTAATTCTAAGACCATGTCGCTCCATAGAATTTTTCCCAATATTAAAAAGATGATCCAGCTGATTTGTACTATTATTAAGCATCCTCAATTGCTTTTGTGTCTCTTATAGCTGAATTCTAACTTGAGCTACTGCTTCTTCTTTCTGAACTGCATACTTCTGTGCTTCAACAACTTGAGTTTCTAACTTGACCTACTCCTTAGGCAACAACTAATTTTCTTCAACCACTTTAAGCCAATTTTCATACAACTTCTGATAGTTCTTAGCGAATTCTTC